TGATTATTTTTTTTCTTTGTTGGTAGGATTAAGGATAAAGCATCATTTTCCTACCTGAATTTATCAATAGAAGAAATACATCTATCTTGAAGAAAGTGCAAGCAGAGTACTCCCTCAAGCAATGGTAGTGAAATTTCATAGTTATTTACTTTTTAGGAGGAGCCAGTTCTTAGGGAGAAGCATCATGTAAAATGTAAAATAGAAATGTAGAAGGTCAGTGAAAGAGGTAGACTGTCTATGAGAGAGATTGATACATTAACTACCACAATGGAATTGAGCATGACAGAGATTTTGAAGATGGCATTGAATAGGGAAAGATTCAGATCTGTTATTCATAGGGACTGCTAGTCTATTCTATGACACCTTATAGCATCTCTATTTTAAATATATGTTAGCAAAATGGCTTATTTTAATAATTCTATCTGCTATATCATGCTTTCCACTTATTTCTATTATGAATGCCTGTTACATGCATGAGATAATGAAGATCTGAAAAGAGAACTCATGGGTATTCAATTACTTGTTATCTTCCTATGTTATCAGTCATAAATTAACTTGTATACATTAAGAGTTCATAGGCACATTTAAATTCCAAAATATATTGCATTGTCTAATGTGCTCTGGGAGATAATGGTTATCCATGGTGGACAGTGTTTGGTGGAGCTCCCAGATTAAAAAACACTTGGAAGCAGAAGTGGCATCCACTTCTGAAATAGCTTGTCTCTGGAAACTCTGCAAACTTAGAGAAACTATGAAAGTTATACAGGTGTTCAGGTCTTTCATTAATAGGGTTATTATGAGTTGTCTAAGACTTTATGGCACTCAACAACAATATTCTCTGGTAGTATTACAAAGTGGTGTTAAGGTGAAATAATCATAAGGCTTTGACAATGTAAACCTTGCTTGATTTCTAAGAAATATTGCACAAATTACAGCATTGTACCTTTTTCTTACCCTTAAAAACAGTTGTGATCACAAAAAAGTGCTTCAAAATATGTTTTGAAAATTCTATCTTACTCTCAAGTTAAGAAACATTTAAATAATTCTTTTTAGTTATTACATATTTAAATATGACAACAAGGACTCCTTAACCAGGTAGAAATTTACACAATATTAATACTAAGAGTTCTCTATCTTTAACATTCGTTGACATACCTTAGAATATGTCTCCATGTGTTCACTAATATATATGATATGAGCCAACTGTTTTATACACTATAATTTAATCACTATATGTTTTGACTTCCTGTTTTTAAAAGTTATGTCATGTGTCAAATATTCTGAGAGTAATTTGTTTGACTTGTAGCAAGTAAAATATTCAGTTTACAATTGTGTGTATATATTCCTGTGTGCTGTGGACTTATAGTATACATGTGTAAAGTATGTAGATTTACTTCTAAGATGGGTTGTGTTCCAGTTCCAGTGATTGAAGAAATGCCATTGGACTTCCTTCCCTCCATCATTTCTTTATTCCTCCCTTTGTTTCTTTTCTTTGCATTGAATTTTTAATTCAAATAAAATGGACACAATTTTAATGACAAGATTATTGGAGGTTGCTTTGTTATACTTGATTGTATGTCCTGGGTACTTTGTTTCTCTAACGTTGTGCACTAAAACGTTTTTCATAAACAAATTGTCTAATAATAGAGGGGCTTTTATTTAAGTTCTTTTTTTGCCATCAACTTTCTAGGTTTACATTAATACAACACTGCCAATTGCTGTAACAGTAGACACCATGTTATCGGATAGCATACAGTTTCCAGTTTTGTCATTTCCATGTAAGATTCCTTGGAATATTCTTGGTTCAAATCAATGAAATAATAATCTTTTGGGGGGAGAGTATGGGGAATAAAGGAAAAAATATTTTGAGGGTATAGATTTTTTTAACTTCTTGCTTGATAGCAATGTATCAACAAGATTGAGAATTACCAGTTTCAGAACTTCTGAGATCATTCCACATTTTCTAACAGATTTGTGGACAATATATATACTGAATTAATGTGTCTCACTCTTGATATCTGAGAATCAAGTGCACCAAAATGAATCTAAAATTGTATCTACTTTCTAGCTCATATTTTCTGTTTAATTTTTCTTTTCACAAATTTATAATAAAGCCTTCACTTCATGAAGCAAGAATTGCTAGATAAACCCCAAAGCTATTTTCTTTAAAGACCTTTCAAAACCCTACAGCTTTAATATCTACTTGTTACAGTGTTATTGTTAGATTTAAATTTAGTGGAAAATAGGTTTCCTATTAGTTCTTTGGTTGTAAACTTATAAATCCTTTTCATTAAATCTTTTTCTTTTCTATTAAGATTTAGCAAACTCCCACAAGTATTTTATAGTATTATTCTGAAAGATTTGAACCCATTGAGATATATTATTATGAAATATTTTTAAAGGATAAAATATAAGTGGTAATAATTTTTATTTGCAGTCCAACAACAATAACAGCAGAGTGGATAACACTTGTATTTAACAACTTATGCTACATGTAATAATCTGAATATTCTCAGGACTTTGTAAAATGTCCTTGATAATCTTATTGTCAAAACATTTAAGTGTTATGCCTATTGGCTGAAAATACAAAGCTACACAGTTTAAAAAGAAATAAAAACCTGCAAACAGTTTCTAGAAGATACTTAAAAGTTAACCTCAGACAAATTAAATCTTGAAGTTATGGTACAAACTATTTTGTTCTATAACTTCATGGGAAAGCTATTTATAGCTAAAGTGACCAAAGCATACCCATTAGGAGTATTCAAATATCTATCTCTATGGATTTTTTAATACTCTATTTTTTATTCATTCTGATGGAACTAAGAATAGCTATAACAGGCAGATTATTAGAAGCAACTGGAAAAATTGTATGTCAACAAACCACAAAGACCTAATAGCAAGTCATTGAAGATTTTAAAGGTTAAATAAATGTCTACTTAAGGGGGGAGTCACAGAATAAGTAAAAGGGATCATTGCACTAAAATAGGGGGGGGGAAATGGGAGAAGTCAACACAAAGGAAGATATGTTAGAGTTTGTCCAGTGACAGAAATAAGCAAGTATTCATGTTATAATTCATAAGGAGTTGCACTTTTATACAAAGGCCATGATTTTCTGGTTGTTCGAATCCACCAGTAGCTCTGTAGAAAATAATTTTCTCATGTAATTTATGGCCACAGCAAATGGATAATCAGCTAGATGTTGGTTCTGATTCCACAGCAAAGGGATAGAATTAATAGGTTAGTGCTTGTGGATTGTCGTTTTTGTTAGGAAATCTTTCAGGTGGGTTCTACTCATAATGACCCTCTGCCATCCTCATAATCCTTGCTATGCTTGAACCACCCTGTTGATCAATCTCCGTGAAGGCTTTAGTATTTTTAAAGGGACCAAAGTATTGGCAATAGTAATTACTGAAGGGACAGATCCCTTTAACTGTCTCAGAATTCAGAAACTTGAAAGAAGAAAATGTTAAAATTTGTATCATCAAATCTTGAGGATCCTGTCTCAATAGTGAGATGAAGCCTGGAAACAACTTCTCATATCATTTTCCAGCCTCATTCATACCACTGTCTTAATTTAACTTCATATGCCCTCTATCAAGCTACTTTATCACTACCCAAAACAATTTCTAAACTGTTAATAGCAATTTCCTCTATACTATTAAACCCATCTCTTCCCCCCACCCCAATTATTCTGCTTTGGCCAATCTCTAATTTCTAATTAGGAGTTTACCCCTATTTCAATTTGAGTACTCTGTCTGTGTTACTAAATTGCTCTAAGTATCCAAGGTATGCGACCAGGAGATGAGTGTCACAGTCTGCTCTAATCGTTTTTCCTCTTTCTTTTACCTATTTTCATATAGATCTCTGATACTGAGAATAATCTCATCTGCCCAAGGGAAATTTTAATGAAAGTAGTGAATAAAAATGAGATATCCCGAAGTCCCCATCAGCTTAGGGAATATGTATAAAGAGCAAAGGCCACATGGAGAATGTCGTATCTGACCTTTACTAACTACACGGGATGGGAGGGGAGTATCCCCATCCACAGCATCACTGACACAAACCAATTTCCATGAGGTCAGATATGTGCCTCACTGTTCTAATGCCTCCTTCTACTCATCTCGTCATCAATCTTACTGCTTCACTGGGCCTAAAATCTGAAGAGATAGCTCACAGACCACACAGAACCATATTAGGGGAGTTAAAAGGTTATAATTCAGATATAGCGCAAAATATAGTCAAGATAACACATTCCAAAATGTGCACACAGGCACTCAGTCTCAAGTTACATGGCTCTAACTGTTCTCAAATTCTTAGTCCTGCCAATATTGGCTAACCTCACACACACACACACACACACACACACACACACACTCTCACTGCCCCAAAGTCTCATCTCACATCTAGCTCTTCAATTGAGCCATTACTGCTGTTGCCATCCTGAAGTTTTCCTACATTTCACTGGATTGGGGAAAGGTCTTTCTTCTCTGGTTAGGTCTTCTAGTGCAGAAAGAATGCCTTCTGGTGTGTGTGTGTTGGGGGAGGGGATTCCTGTTCTTCAGCTAGAGTCATTTAATTTTTGGCAAGATTAGTCAATTCTCTTGTAGAGACTACTCAGTCTCCTTATGGAATGGTAGATGGCCAAGCCTTTTGCGAATAGGCCACCCCACTCAATCACACAGTCTCGCCCCTCCATGTAGTCAGCCTTCTACCCTAAAAAAAAAAAAAAAAGCCATATTGAGAGACAAAATCCACAGAACACTAAAACATTTTTGTCTTTTTTTTTTTATTCTGAATAGTCTCTTGAAAGTTTCATCACTTTGATAAACATCTTCCTTTCTCCATTATCCTACCTACATAAATAGGAAGAGATTAGTAATTGGGATATTTCTAATTCCTTAAGTTATTCAATTAGTGCATATTTTAACTGCTCTAGTTTAATGCCAATTATTTTTAACTTGATACATTCTGTGGTCTTGTTTGATTTTTTTTTTAAAATAATGCGTTTGTTAGTCTAGTGAAATAAGAATCACAAAGTAAGTTGCAGTGGAAGCCTAGAAGTTGGCTTTTTTAGTCATTTTATTAAGCTCTCTCTGGTTTCCACCTCCTTTAATTGCAGACACATGGTCTTACAAATTATCAACAGCTGTGGGACTAGCATGAGGGGGTGCGGGAGAGGGAAAAGGGAAGAGAGGAAGGGAGGGAAGGGAAAGGGGACAGAGAGAGAGACAGGGAGAGACAAAGAGAGAGCACTTAAGTAGCAAGACTTGTGGCAGCAAGACTTTAGAGAGACTGGAATAAGACCCTCGTGAAAATAAGACCCTGGTAGTGAAGCACTGGTGATGATGCTAGAGAGACTGTGGCATCGCTGTGGAGGAACTGTGGTTGTGACCTGAGGCTTCTTGCATTTGTGCTGGCCTCAGTGAAAGTTTTGCTGTTTTTTCCTTTGATGGTGTAAGGAAAAGCTGCTAGCTGAACTGAAAACAGTCTGAACTAATTGAGGACTTTTCCCTTGAGACTATTGGGCTTAATCTAGACTTTATTGAGATATTCTATCCCTTCTTCACTCTCCAACTTAATTGCCTAATAAACCCTCTTCTTAGTACCACAACTGTGGGTCTGTGAGTCAACAATGAACAAATGAACCACTTGCCACTGGCTCTAGAGGACCATGGGACCATGGGCTCTTTATCTGCTTTCTGCTCTGAGGCTGTGAGGTACTCTGTACTATTCTCACTCCCTCTGACCCTTTCAGATAAACAATCGTGGCCGACCCTTTAGTGCCCGCTCTCATGTCCCATTTTCAGTCCTTTAGCATAAATAAGTATAAAAATTGGTCAAATGGCTAGAAAATAAACATTTGTAGAATGGAGACAACCAAATAATATTTTTCTCTATTTTACTTTCAGGTCAAAACTGTGGAGGCTTAGTACAAGGTCCAAATGGCACCATAGAGAGTCCAGGATTCCCACATGGTTACCCAAACTATGCCAACTGCACCTGGATAATTATCACGGGGGAACGCAATAGGATACAACTGTCATTTCATACTTTTGCTCTTGAAGAAGATTTTGATATTTTATCAGTTTATGATGGACAACCCCAACAAGGGAATTTAAAAGTGAGGTAAAGTACCATTTCTTTATTATATTAATAAGAAAGCACTACTTGAGTGTTTAAATTCTGAAATTTAACTGGAATTTATATTGGTTTTTAGTTACAGAAAAATGCAATTTTATAATGAAGGAAAATTAAATACTGTAGATTTTTGCCAACTATGCACATTTCTCAATGCTTAAAAATACATTTTCTGTTGAAAGCAATTATTACTTTCATCGTAGACACTAGATTATTCAGATCTATAAAAGTGTTGTCATGGAGATGTATATAAAGTTATAAAATACTATTGTTTTTAAGTAACTGGATTTGAAAGAAAAAGAACACAGATAAATGCATGAGTACAATTAGAGAACAAAAGGAAACTTTATATGCTAGAAAATGCTTTCAACAAAAAGTACATAGGAGGTGGGTGGTGGCAAGAACATTGAGGAATATCATATTCTTTGAAGACATTTTATCTTATAAAAATCTTGATATGTTCTACTCCCCACTGATGTTTTCTTTTGTCCCATGATATTTACCATGAGAAAAGAACAGTAATACTGAAATTATTTTGTTATAGTCTTGATTTATCAACAAGTAAAAGTCATACCAGTACAAAAAGATTTTTTTAAAAAAATGTTTTTGGGGTAAAGAAATTGGAGAAATTATTTTAAAACTTTAAAGTTTCTGAAATTGATGATAAATTTAAATACAAATATACAATGGATATAATTTTTATACAAAGTTAACATATTTTAACAAAGTTTACCTTTGCTAACTTGCTTTTCAATTTGGCATTTAAGTTTGTGCAATATCTGGTATCTTAAAGAAAAAATGCAGAATGATAGCAGACATGAAATCATTATTATTTCGTCAAATTATATAAAAATACCACAAAAGGAATATTTTTTTACAAATCCAGTTAATATACCAATCTTCATTAATCCTACTCAACCAAATTACATTAATTATATAGTCACTTAATTTAATTATGTAATTAAATATAATATTAGTTGACTACATTGCTGTTGTTTTGGACCATTAAGTCAGGACTGACCCATATATGACTCAGTAGTGGCTTTCAGAGGCATTTAATTACATGGGAAGAAATTACCTATTTTTTCCATGTGGAGCAGCTGATGGATTTTTAACCTTGTACTTTTGTCAGTAGAACTCCTTACAATTTGGACACCAGAGTTCTTATAGTTAATAGATTGACTCTATAATGTATTGTGTTAATATAATTAATTATTTGGTCATATTTAAATATAAAATAACTGTATACTTTTATTAGGGTGCTATTCAATATTTATTATATGTTGTTGTTGTTAAGTGCCATCGAGTCGCATGCGGCTCAGGGACCCTGTGAAGGAGAGTCCTGGACGCTTGGGTGCCTTTCATCCTCTCTCCAGGTTCAAAGGGTTTCCGGAGGCAAGTTATTATGGAAGTGGATGCCACTCCTCCTTCCACGCTTATTTTAATCGGGAGCTCCACCCGACTCTCTGTCTGCATTGGGTCACCAGCCATTAAAGCATGTGATACATCAGTGTCACAGTGTTCAGCCTCACAGCAACCACAAGTGACCGTGGGCCGGCAACTTGTACACCAGGACTATACGACCTAGAGGAATGTCTGAACAAAAACAATGAAAGACAGGCCTGAGGGCCGCGGATTAAAAGTCACCAACCTTTGCCTTGGTAGCATCGTTTTCTGTATTTATTGTATAGTTTTAGAAATATTTTGGCATTAGGTTTTTGTAAATTTTTTATCTGTCTTTTGAATAAGTGATATTTATCTTAACATATATGAGATTTATCTATATGGAAACCTGCTGCAGGGTTAAATATGAGTCAGTTTTGATTCAAAATAATAGCTACAATACATATACAACTGTTGATCATGTTAGGCAAGATTTCTTATCTTCATTCCTGTTATTCTAAATATTACTTAGAATTATTTTCCCCAATTGTGAACCTATCCAGGAAATAGTGGTATGTAATTTTAACAGATATTAGATTGGTATAGAGAAAAAAAAAGGGAGAGGAGGAGAAACTAAGAATTATTGTCTATTTAAATATCAACCCATGTCAATTATTCAATATGTTACTGTTGTTGTGTACTGATGTGTGAGAACTGAACCATAGCTTACCCTCCGGCAGGTTTTCAGAGGAACTTAATTGAAGGGGAGGAGATTGTTCATCCTTCTCCTATGGTGCAGCTGGTGGATTTGAACCACGTGTCTTCAGGATTGCAGCACAGCTTCTTGCCACTAGGCCACCACATATCCAACAACATTGGATATGAATGATTCTTTTTATTTCCCTTTAAGCATTACTAGTATATATGTACTCTAAGAACAAATACTTCCTTTTATCACTGTTAAAGTTTCCATTCCCTTTATCTATTATATAAAAAGGGATCTATTTTATTAATTTAGTGATATATATAATATATATATATTATATATATAAATCGCACAATTCCTTACCCTCTCTTGTCTTTAAGGTATTATTCTGATCATTTTATATGTCAATAAGTATAAAACATAAAATACCTTATTATCTTCATTATCATGACAGAATCATTAGCAGCAAAATTAAAATCAGAACAATGTACTTCATTGCATTGCATTACAGAGTACCAGGGAATATGACAGAAATCAATGTGGAAACTCATAGAACTTTACAAATAACCATTGAGTGGTATATGTTAGCATCATAATTATAACACTCAACTATGATGCTAGTAGAAAATGCATGAGATGCTAGTTAGAATGATGCCACTCGAGTCTTATAAATTAGTTGAGCATAGTTTTCATCTGTGTGATAGAAAAAATATCATATTTACCAACAGCTTCTTGAGGTGTTTATGGCAAGATATAAAGAACTTAAGGTTAGATTAATGCATTCATCTTTATATTATATTCTCTAACTCTTCCTTCTACATCCATACTCAGAATGTCTTTCTGATTGGACATCTATTGGAGAACAGACAGTATTGGGGGGTACAAAAGTGACTTTTTAAGGTATCACACCACAAAACTTCTCATAAATAGAATTCCATCAATGAATATTGCATATTCTGTTTCTTTACCAAAACAAAATTTTGAAAAATGAAAAAACTGAAAGTAAAATTTGCTCTACAGAAGTAACTCATGGTTGCTGTGATGCTAAATAAACACTGTGACACTGATGTATCAAATGCGATAATGGTTACCCGTATTAGACAGTGTTTGGTGGAGCTCCCTGATTAAAACAAGCTTGGATGCAGGAGTGGCATCCACTTAAAAAATAACTTACCTCCAGAAACTCAATGAACTTGGAGAAATGATGAAAGTTATACAAGTGCTCAGGTCTTTTCGTTCATAGGGTTGCTATGAGTTGTCTACAACTCAATGGCACTTAACAACAACAAAAACAGTTAGTAAAAACACTGAGAAACAACCAGTATTTCAGCATCAGTTAATGTGAAATGAAATTATAAATAATATCAAATACTAGTCAATCTCAAGAAAAGGCTCTAATGTTACTTGATTTTTTGCTATACCTTAGGACAATTGTTTATTTCTCACGTTTTATTAACTAACATTTTAAGCAGCTCCAGAATCTAAATTAAGAAGACTTTTGTTTGAGGATGGACATGGTAGCAGTTGATCTGCTGTGCTATCATGAAAGTTACAACTTGTAGCTGTCCCAGTCTGTTATTTTATTTTACTGCTTTACAAAAGCTGTTTTTAGTAGCTCAAAATAGGCTGCTTCTTCTTGTTGATTGCCTTTGATTCAAGCATGACTCAAAGCGACCCTATGAACAAAAATCCTGAAACTCCTCTACAACTATTGACATTTATCAAAATATGCTTAACTAAAACAATAATAATTAATAATTATTAATAATAATTAATGAATATTTGATATCCTAAGCAACTTGAGTAATTTATTATAAAGGATTTTCTTTTGTTTAGCCAAAAGAAGAACATTTTATAAATAGATATAACATGTAAATTTAACTCAACTAGCAAACACGTTTTGTTGGAGATTTTAATATATTTACATTTATAGATGTAACATAAATTTTAGTTTTCTCAAAACTCATTGCTTCTGGAGTCAGTTCTCCTTGATAAATGATCCTCCATTGGGTGTTGGAGACAGTGAGATTGGCACAGGGTTTAGGGCTGTTGTATATAGGGTTGCTATGAGATGCAGGCGACTCAACGACACTTAACAACAACAAAAACAATATAACTAAGTATTTATGAAGGGAATATAATTTAGATTAGATTATATGTGTAAATCTGTGCAATGTTAAAAGTATTAGTATTTATTCTCTTATACTAAAATATCTTACTAATATATATTTAAAAATATAGCATCTGGATGCCGAATTTTGTAAAGTTTTTTTCCTACTTCAACAAATAATGAGTTATAATTGACTCACAATAAAAACCGGACTTGGAATTCTGAATGATGTTGGAAACTCATAAATTCTTTTTATAGAGAGAATTTTAATACATTATAATAATTTATTAATTGCTATGAGAGGCTGGAAGGAAGACTTCTCACCCAACCTGAGAGATGATAGATTCCTACCAGACAATATTTTCAGCCAAGGCAAAATTGTCTCTAAATGATGCTCTTTACAGCTATAACTTTTGGTGACATATGTTTGTAGTTGTTGCAAGGTGATATGCTGTTATTGTGTGTTTTCAAGTCGGAACTGACCCACATCTCCAGCAGATAGATTTTCAGAGGCAGTAAGTCACAAGGAAGAAGATTGCCCATCCTTTTCCAGTGCAGTAACTGATGGATTTCAATCGCATGCCTTTGAAATTTCAGAACAGCTTCTTACCACTAGGCCACTAGCACTCCTTTTGAGTCCTAGTAGATACAATTAAACCTACCTCTCTCGTCTCTATCTCTTTTGTCTCAGCTATGCTGCTATGAGCACTTTTTAACTGTGGGTGATTCTTTGTAATGTGAGGATACTTGTAGACCCTTACAGTTGCCAAAACTTGAAGTGACAGCATA